TTCGTCTGAGTTTCATTATTACTATTTTTTTATTATTAAAAAGAAAGAGAAAACGTGTCCTCAAAATCTTATTTTCTTCCATTTTCGATGTTTTATTTTATAAACAAAAATAAGATTATTTTCCTAATTAAAAAATGCACTTTGGTATGAAAGCATTCTTAAAAAATATTAAAAGCGATTATCTGCATAAAGTTATTTAAAACTAAACCTTCAAATAAACCTTCAAAAAAATAAACCTTCAAAAGAATAAACCTTCAAATAAGCCTTCAAAAAACTAAACCTTCAAATAAACCTTCAAAAAAATAAACCTTCAAATAAAACTTCAAAAAAATAAATCTTCAAATAAACCTTCAAAAAATAAACCTTCAAATAAACCTTACAAAAATAAACCTTCAAATAAACCTTCAAATAAACCTTCAAAAAATAAACCTTCAAATAAACCTTACAAAAATAAACCTTCAAATAAGCCTTCAAAAAATAAACCTTCAAAAAATAAACCTTCAAATAAACCTTCAAAAAATAAACCTTCAAATAAACCTTCAAATAAACCTTCCTAATGCCGATTAAAATAAAACAAGTCGTTATTATTAATAACAAATAATGCTAAGTATTAATTTTGTAAGATCTAATGTTCTCTTTTTTCCCATTAAATAAATGGCAAACCATACGATTTGTTTTGTCTACACAATTAATACTCAACATAATTTATTCTTATCTTAGTAATAACAAAACTAATTATTTCCGACAAGAAGATATTCTGTTTTCAAATATCAGCGTCAAGCGGATGGAAAATAATGTTTTTTTATATAATTCGCATAATACGATCATGAGTCCCGAAATCCATTAGATTCATAAGAGACCCTATATGTACTGCGACCGCAATAGCAATGTCTTGGGCAAGATAGCCTGACGGAACCCTAACCCACTCCAGGCTTAAATTCCGATTTTTCCTTCTCCGGGACTAGTCTCCAACCAAGTATGTAGTTTGTTCTGCTATTTTTCCATAGCTAGGACAAGAGATGAAAGAAGAAGAGATGGATTCACACCTTTCCCAAGGGTATTTGCGTAATTATCCCTTCAGTGAATATGATGAACTCGACGTGAATTCGAACTCGGCTCTCCGATTCCTTCATCCGAGCCGCTGTCCATTACTCCATCTTGCCTCGTTAACGAACGCTTATACTAACTTTAAAGATTTTCAGTTATTTTGTTTCTTATTTTCGGTCAGAAGCTGAACATAAAATAATAAGAAAAAACATTATGATTCTCACTCACGTAACGTGTTTTTAACGGCAGTAAAACCCGGAGCATTTTATAACGGATCAGTTATTATATATTGTGTGACAGTAATGAAGTCCTGGCGCAATTTATTTTTCAGGAAAAATTTATATTTGAGAAAAAAAAAATAACTGAGAGAAAAATAGAATATAGACAGAGTTAGGTAATGAGGAAAGAAATGTTTGTGTGCTCGCTTTTTAATGATGAAATTGATTGAAAAAATATTATATAAAAGATTTACAACCAACCACTCGTAATCATAACCAACACATCTCCAGCCAGACGCTTTTACTGTACTATTATACAGAATTTACACTTTAAATTACCGAATACTATGGTGTGTAAGCCGATAGCATGGGCAGGAGATGCCCACTCTTCACTTTCCACTCTGGATAGAGTTCAAAAGCGTCTCCGCGTCCTTATCAGTGATGAATTATTTTCCACCCTGCAACATCTTTCTCACAGACGAGACGTCGCAAGTCCCTCATTGTTCTATCGCTATTTTAATGAAAGGTGTTCAGAAAAACTACATTCCTTAGTTCCACCAGTCGTAAACTTTAAGGCTTAGACCTGCCATGCCACGCCTATTGTAGAGAATCGTCCTCATTCCCTTCGTATTCCATTGGTGAGAAATAACTTCCACTCGAACAGCTTCTTCCCAGGAATCGCTGCCTTGTGGAAACGACTCCGAAGGGGATGCTTTCCCGAGCACTACAATTTTAACCTGTTCAAGTCTAGAGTTAATCGTTATCTTACCTATGAGCTGTACCACTTATCTGTTACTCGGGCCTTGTGCAGGGTGAATGTTATTGTAAAAAAAAAAAAAAGAAAACCTAATGAATATTGCGAATATTTGAGCATGAATGTTAACCCCTCCAGAAAAAAATTACGATCAGTGAAAATCATTCATTTTTAGCTTCTTCAAAAAAAAAAATAACTATGTACAGTGTGATCCCCTATTTTTTATTTTACGAAAAACTGATCATAAAATTTCGCACTATACTCAAGTATATACGGTATGACTTTATAATGTGATCAACAGTGAAGCGGTGACTTAAGTGCCTTGACAAAGAAGGAGATCACGTTGAAAAAAATCGTATACGTCGTGTAAAATAAGCGAGTTTTATCATTATCAATGGTCTGATTGATTTATATTAATTCATAAACAGGTGTGAACTTTTTTGGTCTCTTCATGAAATTTTCTTGATCTTGTCATTTTCTGTGCTTGAAGATTATGCAGACTTTGATTTTATATATTGACCAAGCAAGTACTACTCTATCTCGCAAACTAACTTGTCCGAACAAATCGGAATCCGTGCTTATATTGGAGAATATAATATCAGCGTTTCTACCAGAAGATACCCAAATACGTGTCAAATTAGCACAATATTGTTTTGATGGATCAGATTGCTGCCGTGTGTCGAATTGAAAAGTATTTGGAACGGTAAGAAAACGTGCCAATTATATGCATCAACCCGAGTGATTGTGACCGACGGGTTTCTCCGTGAGAAGTGTTTTATCTCCTACTTGGATGTATAGACGGTGTTCTGGTTATATAAAATGGGCTTTCCTATATTTCTGCCAGTAGTGAAAAGGGTTACAAGTGGAATCGGAGAATTGAGCTTAAATTTGGCCTGAATCTGTTTAAAATTCGCTCGAAAGACATCGGGAAATTCATTTATCCATCTCTTCTCCGTCGCTCCAGCTATAATTTAAATAGAATGATAGACAGGATGTTCTAAGTCTTGGGTGGCAGTCCAGGAGAAAAAAAAAACTATTCGGTATTGAAAAACGTTAAGAATGCCGCGGAAGAAATTGCCCTATCTTTACAAATAAATCGTGGCAATTCACAAATAAAAAAATTAATTAAATGAATTTGTTTAGGAACGTGATCGTCTACATCCTGAAGGAAAATAGAGCGAAACCTTTTATGCGTTTTCAATGTTAGAAAAAGCGTAAAGATAAGTAAATTAAAAAAAAAACATATTCGCGTATATTGTCATTAATAAATCATAACGATTCCTGTACATATGCTTAATATCTATCTATCTATCTATCTATCTATCTATCTATCTATCTATCTATCTATCTATCTAAGTGTCTTCACACCTATCTCAGCCTATTCATATCTATCTCATACTATTCAAATCTATCTATCTAGCTAGCTATTTATCTGAGACTATTCACATCTATCTATGTATCTATCTTAGCCTATTCACATCTATCTATCTTAGCCTATTCACATCCATCATCCATCCATCCATCTATCTATCCATCCATCCATCCATCCACCAGCCCATCCAGATCCATCTATCAGCCCATTCACATAAATCCATCCATCCATCCATCCATCCATCCATCCATCCATCTATCTATCCATCTATCCATCTTAGCCCTATCCACATCCATATCTATCTATCCATCCATCCATCTATCTATCTATTTATCTACTCAGCCCATTCATATCCATCTATCTACCCACCCACTCAGCCCATTCATATCTATCTGATCTATCTTAGCCTATTCACATCCATCTATCTATCCATCCATCCATCTATCTATCTATCTATCTATCCATCTATTCCATTCACATCCATCTATCTATCTATCTATCTATCTATCTATCTATCTATCTATCTATCTACTCAGCCTATTCATATCTATCTATCTATCTATCTATTTGAGCCTATTCACATCTATCTACCCAGTTGAGCCTATTCAAATCTATCTATCTATCTATCTATCTATCTATCTATCTATCTATCTATCTATCTATGTGGATGCGTTTATAATACGTATATGTAAATATGTAAAATAGTATGTATAATAACCTATACATTTATTCTATATTCTGTATGTATGTAAATATGTATATGCGTGTGTTTTATGGGTTTCATTACGATTAGAAACGGGGAGATAGACTAAATGACAAAGAAAGCGGAATAAACGCCTAAGCTGACAGACTCTTATCTGGTGCCACTAAATTCAACATCTACCCCATCTGCGACGTTTTCTTCAAATCAGACGCCACGGACAGTTAATGCCTTTCAGTCACGTCAACTCTTCCTTCTTCCATATTTTGATGCCCTATCATATGATGAAGGCACACCATTTGGGATAATATATTGATGTCGGTGACAACAATGGAAGAATTTGGATAATCTCTTACCGACTGACATTTCCCACAGTCGTGGAAAGTGATGTATATTAGCTATTTTATGCACGTCTAACGACTTTTCCTTTTTTTTTATTTAATTTTATATCAGGTCAGATACAGACGACCAGATGATGTGTCAGAATAACGGAACTAAAAAGAATTAACTGAAGCTGTCTCGAAGTGATGAGACTAGGAGACAAGATGGCGGCAGGAAAGAAGTTGCGAGTAGATAAGCAGAGAAGAGGAACATAGGAAAGAGGGTGGGGGTAAAAGAACGAAAGAAAGAAAGTAAAAGATTTAGGAGGAGGAGAAGTTATAAAAGAAGATGCAAGTAAATATATCAAAAGAATGAACGAGAGAAAGGTTGGAAATGAGAAGAAGAAGAAGAAAGAAGGAAATAGAAGCATAAAAAAAAGGGAGATAAGAAAGAAGCAGAGAGTAAATAAGTGGAAATAAAGAGAAGATGGGGGGGTGTAAGATAGGAATGAAGATTGGAGTGATGAGTAAAAAGGAATAAATAGTATATTGGAGAAAAGCCAGATAGAAAGAAAGTGGTAGTAAATAATTAGAAATAATGAAAGAGAAGATGGGAGGAGAGAAAGATAGGAAAGTATCTGGTTTTATATGAGAAGGGAGGGTGAAAGAGAGGAAGATAGGAGAGAAGTTGGGAGTAAATACGTAGAAAGAAAGAAAGAAAGAAAGAAAGAAAGAAAGAAAGAAAGAAAGAAAGAAAGAAGAACAGAGGTGGAGAAAGCAATATGAGAGTAAAGAAAGAAAGATAAAAAAGAAAGAAAGAAAGAAAGAAAGAAAGAAAGAAAGAAAGAAAGAAAGAAAGAAAAAAAGAAAGACAGAAAGAAAGAAGAACAGAGGTGGAGAAAGCAATATGAGAGTAAAGAAAGAAAGAAAAGAAAGAAAGAAAGAAAGAAAGAGAGAGAGAGAAAGAAAAAGAGGTGGAAGTAATGGTAGATAGGAAAGAAGCTCGGAGTAAAGAGATATAGAAAGAAGAGATTGTAGGAGAGGGAAATAGGGAAGAAGCTAAGTTTAAATAAGGGGAAAAGAAAAAATGGGAATAAGAAGCAACGAAACGAAATATTGAGAAGAACGGAAAGAAATATAGACTGAAAAGGCCACTAAAAAAGAACGTGATATATAAGGCTCTAATGATCGATACGTAAAGAGAAAGACGAAGAAAGGAAGGAAAGAAAATGAATAATCCATGAAAAAGAGGGTAAGAAACAGCGACAGAGAAAGAGAGTGAGAGAGAGAGGGGGAGGAGGAGCAGAGAGGGAGAGAGAAAGGAAGACTGAGAACGTAAATCAAAATGGACGTCAAAAATTAAAAGAAAGAGGGATTAAAAAGAGTAACAAAGAATTGAGATGTGATAATAAAGAATGGATGGAAAAAAGAAAAAAGAAAATCAAGAGAAGAAAAGATGAAAAGAAGAAAGAGAAGCAGCAATCAACTCATTAAAAAAATAGAGAGATTGAAAAAAAAAAAGAAAAAGAAAAAGTAAACCTAAAAAAGAATATAACTGTTGGAGATATAAAGAACAAAGATGAATTAAGAGAGAATTGCAGATACCGGGGCTGGCGGCAACATGCAACATGCTAAATCACTTTAATTTCCACCACTTGATGGCGCCACTTGTAACCTCATTCTGAATAGAAATTTTTTCCTCCAATTTCTTTGAAGTTTTATTCACAGTGGATGGAAAGAAGAAAAGTTTGCATGGAAAAAGTTTTTACACCATGGTAAATAATTTTTTCCCCTTTGACAAACAATCTACCGAGCTTGTGTTTTAATATTCAGTTTAAGAGAACTTGCAATAAACAGTATATCAGTATTAATAAATATACATATTTTCATTTACCACTTTTCTTTACTATTGTTACTATTTTACATTTAATTATATCTTTTAAAATTATATTAAATTAGATTAAGTTAGCTTCCTTCCATTATAGAAATTATTTAATAAAATTAATAATTCATAAAAATTAAAATGAATAATTCAGAATATTTACCCTTTATAGTAAAACCGGTTATAGTGCAGGATTTAATACCATGAGAAATATAATTTTTTGAAAAAATTATAAAACATAACCGAATATAGATAAAACTTAACGACACCAGCATTATGTTAAAATAAAAATTTTAAAATTTTAAGTAACAAATTCAGCACCTGAAGATGGTGTTTGGCATAAAACTCCGAGTAGTGCAAATGCTTCAGGATAATATCTATATTTATTAATATATATATTTTATATAGCTCTGTTATTTAACTGTAAAGACAAAAGTACGTAGGTGTGGGTTTTAAGAAAGCTTTATTCAATTGAGAATACTAGGTTAGCGTATAGTGTCCTTTTATAGTCCCAGTAAACGGAATAGAAAGAGGAGAGTAACGAATCAAGGGGAGGCCACTCTTGATTATTCATAACAGTAACATCGAGCACTGTTCCAATAACACCAACACTTTATGTGCAATACATATATTTATATATTTACCTAAAGATATATATATATATATATATATATATATATATATATAGAGAGAGAGAGAGAGAGAGAGAGAGAGACGAGACGCGTTAAATTTGAGCAACATCTAGCCGACACACTGGGGTTAAAAAATAGGAAATTGAAATGATACATATGACACACTCATATCCTCTCTCCCACCTCACTTCCTCACTTCGTTAATTTTACGTATACTTGATGAGGCCCGTCAAAAACGTGTAAATATCTTTTCATTTTTCATTTCAACTTTTGGAAGTAAAGTCTGATGATCCAGAACCCTGTTAAAAGGGTTATGGTGAAATAACTTATTACATGGAATCTTAACATTGTCCTGTTTTTATGCAAACAATATATATATATATATATATATATATATATATATATATATATATATATATATATATATATATATATATATATATATATATATATATGTATGTATATGAAAATCTTATATACATTTTTGTTTACAAGAACAATGTAAGGAAAATTAATGATAAAGTGGAAAACATTTCATGTACAGACGACTGCACTATTGTGACAAGCCCAACGGATAAAAATATATTATGCTATTCACCAAACCAATCACAGCTATAACTGGATATAATTTACATAAGTTTCACATTAACTTATTGTAGCTATTTCTAAAACAATAAAATACTGAATTAATGTAAAACAAAGTAATAATAAGCTAAAACGTGAAGAATGAATTTGCTCAGTCAACTGTAATAATTACCATAAATAGTCTATAAATACAAAAGGCATATTTTATGTTTTGTTAATTTTAACGCCCCCAAAAAGAAACTGCTCTCTTTTATGGCCGATGTCTATTTTTATCATCTGTCTTTTAAATTTCTGTTATTTTATTATTCTCTCTCCTTGATAGTGCTGTTTTTCTCATATTATTTAACGTTCAGGAACCCTTTGCATCTTGTTGATTTTATGACCTGGCATCTCGGCTTCGATCTAATAATTAACAGATAGAAATAATAGGAGAAACTTCGGGGACTTCAAATAAAGTATTATATAAATACAAAAGGCATATTTCACACACTCAATTATTTATTTGTCACCGTAACGAGTCTGGTCAGAAATTCGATTTAAAAATGCTACTTTAATTCAAATACTAAGACGAAATTTTATACAGTACATCATCAGTCGTATATTTACGTCCAGGTCCTTCCAACATTTCAACATTTTTGGCAGGGATAAAAACATAAACAAAAGATACTAAACGTAATTGGTTGGAGTATATATCTAAACTTTGTGCGCATGTGTATTTACGTCAACGTGAACATCACTTTAGTCCTATGAAGTCCAAAATGACAAAATGCATTTGCAAAAAGAGGGATGCAAAAGTAAGTCTTTTTTCGAACTATATTCGATAAGACGAGGTGAAGCAATTGAGTGGCTATCAAGATCACCAGACCGAAAACCACCAGACGTTTTCTTGTGGTGTGTACATAAAAATCATGTCTAAAGCATCAAACCGAAGACAATTCTTGAATTAAAATAATTAATTTCTGATAATTTTACTGAAATTAATGCCGAATTAGTTCAAATGGTTTGTAGAAGTGTTACTGATATGGTTCAGTGTTGTATTAAACATGAAGGGGACATTTTTGGACATGTTAAATAGTTTGTTAATCATAAAAAAAATTAAGTTATTTTGATGTGACAATACTTATACAATTTCTTAAAATACTGTAATGTACTTTTACTCAATAAAAGTTAATGAATAAACGCCATTACTTTTGCTGAACCTCTATGTATATATTTACTATATATAGTTTTTTTTTTCCAAAAGCTTTCTCATAATTTCTTTTCTTTGAGTACAATGTAAAAAAAACTGTGTTTGAAGCTATTCGGCACACTGAATGTATGGATCTTTGGTGTTCTGTGTCAACCAGTTACATTGATTCAGCTAAAAAAAAAATAATAGCCAGGGTGTAGTAAGATAATAAGCATAACTAAAATCACCTTATTGTGGATCAGGAACAATGATGGATCAGTGGGATTTGATCTTCATATCCTTGACTTGAATGCGGCAAATGTTTTTCATTTGAAAGAGGCTGCTTTGCTCTTCCCATTCGTATAAAAGTTATATACTTATTGACGTCTATTAACAAATTTTAATGAATTATTCATACAAATCATATTGCACATTTTTAAGAAAAAATAGCTCTCTCTCTCTCTCTCATGAGTAACTAGACTAGAATAGATTTCATCATAAATTTTATGCATAGGGTTCACTTTTGAGTTCTTTGAACGTCCGAAGGCCCTACTAAAATTTAAACACTGAAAAATAGTCACGTTCAACATTAAAGTAATAAGATTCATTGAAATTATGTTAAAATATTACACAAATATGCAATAAAATGCATGATTGCTAGCAATCATCGGTGTGGCTTCCTAACTAACACTTGCAACAATATTCAGGAGTATATTATTTTTTGCAATGTAGATTTACTAACGGCAGATATTGATAGCCGTTTTATATTTGGGAAAAGATAATATTGTAAATGGAGTCAGGAATGTTTTATTAATTTTAACGCTTCCAAAAAGAAACTGCTCTCTTTTATGGCCGATGCTAACCTCCTGCGCCATCTCGAGATAACTTTCTCCGCTGACATGAAGTGGAAAGACTATATAGGATCAATTACTAAGTCTTCTGTTAAGAAAGTTGTTTCGATTTGTCGTGCTAGACAATTTTTCTCATTAGAATCTATCTTACATATCCATAAGTCTACCATTCGTCCTTGCTTTCAATATGTTTGCCACATCTGGTCTGGTTCTCCTGCTATATATTTAGAGATTCTTGATGAAATCCAAAGAAGAATCTGCAATGTTATTAATCCTGACCTGGCATCTCGGCTTCGATCTCTTTCCGAGCGCTGTAACGTATAATCCCTGTACCTTTTTTTTTATTAATACTTTTATAGTAAATGTTCTGATGAACTTTCCTCTACGGTACCTAGATTTTATGAATTTAAGCGCAGTACTAGATTGTTGGCAAGGTCACATCATTTTACAGTTGAAATGGCTAGATGTAACCTCAAATTATATGCTATGAGCTCCTTCTATCGTACTTCTCGCTTGTGGGACACACTTCCAGCTTCTTGCATCCCTGTCAACTTCAACCTTCAAAAATTTAATTGCAATTTCTAGTTTTATCTTCTAAATTTCTGTTATTTTACTATTCTCTCTCGTTGATAATGCACTTTTTCTCATATTATTTAATATTCAGGAACATTTTGCATCTTAGTGATTTTATTGCATTGCTTGGGGTGAAATGATTAAAAAATAATTTAAAATTCATATCCTCTTGTAAATATACTGTTTTCACCAAATCGCTTTATATATACAGTCAGTCAATTATAATTATTATTATTATTATTATTATTATTATTGTTGTTGTTGTTGCAGACTAATCTAAGTTCATGGAAAATGGCGAGTTTCTCAGAACAGGAATCGACTTATCTTCCGTATTAACCTTTCCCCATTCGATATTTTACTGTGTTAATCATAAGGAACAATGTTTACAGTCGAAATGGCTAGATGTAACCTGAAATTGTATGCTATGAGCTCCTTCTATCGTACTTCTCGCTTGTGGGACACACTTCCGGCTTCTTGCATCCCTGTCAACTTTGATCTTCAAAAATTTGATTGCAATTTCTATCTTTATCTTCTGTCTTTTAAATTTCTGTTATTTTACTACTCCCTCTCGTTGATAGTGTTGTTTTTCTCATATTATGTTATATTCAGTAACACTTTGCATCTTAGTGATTTTAT